CCAATGGTGCACGTAGAATTTTTCTAGTCATCACGGTTTTTGAGTTATAAAGAGTTAAGTATTTTAGAAGTTGAGTATTCAGTATTTGAATTGTGTTTATAACTCAAAAACCGTGATGACTAGAAAAATTCTACGTGCACCACTGGATTCCACGTGAAAAAATCTATTAGAACCCGTTTTTACTTTTTTACTAAGTTTCCGGATAGCCGAGATACGGGGGTTGTCTGAAAATCGTAAATTTTGAAATACTCCCTGTATATCAAAAACGAAGAGGTCTATGAAAATTTGGTTTGCGGCATTATAAGTTTCACAAAAAAGTAACTCAGGTTCGCGAAAATCGCAAGCTTTCTATCTTTCATAATAACTGAGATACATTAACATTAATTGTAATTTTAGCACAGAAAAACAATTAAAACATTTTCCGAACATTGTCTTAATCACTTCTGTAATGCTGCAGTGTGCCATGGAAAAAATAACACGCAAAACTGATAACAGTCATTAAATGCTATTTTAATGCCCAAGCAGTTGTAAATGATACTTATAAGTTGGTTTTTCATTTATCCCATGGCACACTACAGTATAACACAAGTGACTTTAAGAGGATGTTCGGCAACTATTTTAATGTTTTTCTATGCTACAATTACAATTAATGTTGATGTATTGTACATTAATGGATTAAAAAAAAAATCTCTATCCAATAGCGTGAAGAAAAACATACCGAGCAATTTGAAAATCAAAAGTTGATAATCGCTAGAAATTGAAGATGGCGTTGGAAAAAGTTTATTTGTAGCATGAATCATAGTATTCATCAAACCATTTCATTTGATAGCTGGGTCATGAAAATTAGAAGGTAAATGACAGAGTTACAGCTTGCGGCGTTCTTGTGTGGCAACCTGTATATACAGGTGTCTTTTCTCTGTTAAAATTATATTCAAAATGGATGTATTGTACATCAGTGGATTCAGAAAAACAATTTCTATCCAATGACGTAAAGAAAAATATATAGAGCAATTTGAAAAGCAAAAGTTAATAATCGCTTAAAATTGAAGATGGCCTTGGAAAAGATTTATTTGTAGCATGAATCATAGTATTCCTGAAACCATTTCATTTGATACCCCGCTCATGAAAATCGGAATGTAAATGACAGAGTTACAGCTTGGGGCGTTTTTTGTGTGACACCCTGTATATACTTGTTTTGGAAATGGAAATAAAGTTTATTATTATTATTATTATACTCCCACGAAAACTGACTAAAATAATATCCACTAATGTGTAAAATATCTTCCAAACTTCAAACTTCCTCCCGAACATTAACTCAAAAATGATTCGTGTAGCAAATTTAAGCAGCTATAAAGGCAAAGAGAGAGTTGAAAAACATCGCACAAAATTAGCAATCTACAACACAACCATTCACCAACGCGAACAGTACTTGAATATATCTTTATTAGTTATCTGTATTAACTTCTGTAGAAGAACACAATTTTATGGAGTTGTCTCATGATAACAGTCTAAAAACAAAATTTAGCAGCATGAAATTGACAAAATCTTCAATTTCAATAAAAGATTAATATTTTATACATATCTTTATTCTAATTAATTTAATTTAATTATAATTTTTTTATAGAGATACATATACAACGACCAATTCTACAAACCATTATCAAGTGATGAATGTATGGATACTGTTACGGAAGGGATTCGAATGTTGGAGGGGAGTTTGGATAGCGTGGATGGGTTGGAGAATATGTCTTCGATGTTTGGGTAAATAAATTAAATCGAATTAATTAAAAAAAAATTAATGAATTAATTTTTGTAGTACTTGCGACCCAATTGATGTTACGGAACCGGAACGTTCTTATTTCTTCAGCAGTTTAGCAAACCCCTTCGCTTATAACACCCAATATGCGCAACCAGGCGATATTGATGAAGCTTGTAAATTAATTTTAAGCACCAGCGGTTCCGCAGTTGAGAAATTAGCCGGTTATATTCGCTACTATTATGGAGGCTATTGCATAAGTGATTTCCAATACTTCGTTGATTACTACAAAGACACCGCTATGAATTACTATGATTCGTGTAAGATTTAATTTTAATTTTTGATTCTTAATTGAGGCAAAATTTTTAGATCGGCAGTGGTTTTATCAAACTTGCACCGAATACGGCTTCTTCCAAACCGGGAATCAAACCACGCGGCCATTCGGCGACTTTTGGCTCCAAATGTACATCGATACCTGTCAAGAGTTATTTGGGTAAAAATTAAAATTTGTGGTAATCAAGAATTTTGCTTAAATGAAAATCTTTGTTGTTTTTAGAACTGGGGAGGAAATTTTGAACACGGGGATTGAACGCACGAATTTGTTCTACGGCGCCCTCGAACCGGAAGTAACAAGGGTGGTGTCTGTCCATGGGACTGTGGATCCTTGGCATGCGCTGGGAGTTCTTGAGGATATTAACGAAGATGCGCCCGTAATCGTCGTGGAGGGCACCTCGCATTGCGCCGATCTCTCCTCGATCAGCGAAAACGATTTGCCACAATTGCGCGAGGCTAAATTGAGAGTGCAACAATATATTCGTCAATGGATTAGTTAATTAAAGCTTAACTGTAAAAATATTATTAAACGAATTGATTAAACCAAAATTAATTTTATTTACATCACATCACAAATAAAAGTTTGAATTATTCTCTTTTAAATGTTGTATGATAAGATATTGCGAAATGATAAACTTTGTTAGAAAAGAATTTTTTCGAAAACTGCAATTAAAAGTTGATTTTTAGTACATAGCAACAATTTTTTTTCACTTGATTGTATGAATCCATGTTGCAAGTTATATTATACAGGGTGATTCACATAGGAACCGACACAGAGCAGGGACATGTAGAGGACAATAAATTAAGATGATTTAACGCAACTTATCTCTATACTAAGTTGTACCCC